TAACCGAATTCTAACACGACACCCCCGCTTGCAAAAGACCCGCCGTTAGGGCGGCAGCAGTCTCGTTGCTCAGCACGGCCGTGGTCCCCATGCTGATACAGACGACAGACCCGGGGGCTTTTCCGTCGAGCCAGTTCCGCAGGGGGGCCGGAACGGCCTTCTCCGGCGGAATGAGGGGCCCCGTGTAGATGGCGCTTGGCGGCGTGGCCACTGGGAAGTCCACCCCGGGCGCGCTGTTGATGACGTAAGCGACGCGGCGCTGAGTCAGCGGGACGGCTGCGTACGTCGCCGGGAGGGTGGTCATGCGCGCGGTCGCGTTTGCGGCGGCAATGACACGTGGCAAGACCCAGTACTTTACATACCCCGCGATCACGGTGTTGAACAAGCTCCGCGCGCCGTGGTTCTTGAGCCTCTGGGGAAAGGTCATCGGGACCCCGAGGCGCGAGCCGAGCGCGGGATGAGGCCAGTCTGGGGGGATGTGCGGGTTGGGCGACGGGACGTTTCTAACGACCGGAAGGCCGTACTTCGCCCCCAGCCACGTTCCCGTGACGGCCATCGTGAAGTCCGTGACCAGCACGCTCGGAAGGCGGTCCCTCGCGGCGAGCGCCGCGAAAAGATCGTCGGCCGCGAGCGCCATTTGCACGTCCGCCGCGACAAGCATGTTGAGCATGCGCGGGAGGTTGGCGAGCGCCGTGTGCGCCCCCGCCCGGTTCACCCGGTTGATCCGGTCCTGGTCGACGTGGCTCTCGCCGAGTGGAGTGAACTCCACCCCAGCCGCCTCGACGTGTCCCCGGGGAAACGCGCGCGGGCCGTCGGGCCCCAGCGTCAGGCTCATGAAAGTGACGTCTTGGCCACGTGACAGCAGCGTTTGCGCGAGCGCGAGCGGGGCGAACAAGTGCCCGGCCTGGGGGAGCGTCACGATTGCGATGTGCTGTTTTGGGCAGGGGAGATCAAGCCCCCGGTGAAAGCTGGCTGACTGCAACTGGGGGGATCCCTGCTGTTTCTCAACGGATTGTTGAATAAGCAGGCCGGCGGCAGCTGGTTTGAGCAGAGATGAGCTAAGGAGTGCTAAGCAGAATAGCAGAGGAACGCTATGGCTCAAAGCATTTGCTGCCATCTTGAATGTTGAATGTGCACCTAAGAGGAAGGGGACTTGGGCTCTGCTTCAGTTCTATGAGCTGCCAACCGGGCAGAATACAGTCAAAGTGGGTGTTCTACGCTCTCAGGCCTGCGGTGTGAATGCTGCGCTTCATATTTATTAACACCAATCAAGTATCTGCTGGATCAAGAGATTCGTGCAAGAATTGGGGCGCAGACATGCCCCCTTGCTTTTGGACCTTATGATCGTGGGACGTAATTGTAGGACGCTGGATCAGAAATTGCAGATCAAGAGCTGCCCCAGCTGAAGCGATTACAGACTCGCGTTTGATCACTATCCCGAATGCTGCCTCCAGTGCCTTGTTGCAAATGGATAGCCCGTTTGAAAAGCGAGTGTGCCCCGCGCTATCAATGCCGTTTGTAATTTGTATCAAACAGGAGCTTTCATGCCCGGCGTATGCATGGGTGGCCGGCCGCCATTGCCAAGTTCTGAGCCCCTTCTGAAAAAGTCTGCCAGGGACTCCCAGTCTGGGGAGTAATTACTGAAGTCCAAAATGAATCAATCAGGGTAGGACGTATGAAATTAGATCCGGGCGCAATTCTTCGGCTGCCACTCTAAGCAAGTTGTCCTGATTCGCTTAAAGGCGCCCAGTTACTCTCCAATCCCCACAGTGCTAGCTTATGTTTTGAGAAGTACCTGCGCGCCAGATACCTCCCTCTAGTGCTCTCCGAAAACTCCGGCATGCACGAGGACATGGAAACTTGGACGCATCAAGGACAGCTGCATTCCTTGATCTTGTCGCGGATCGAGGTGCTCCCGCTTTTCATGCACAAGCTCATATTCAAGATTCAGAGGGACCACCATACGCTCTGCCGTCTAGCTGCCCTGCATATTGCCAATCACATCACAATACCCAGTAGGTACGGTATAAGCATTCGGCCGGGCTTAGGCTTGCCTAATCCTTGATTATGACGTATCCGATCAACGGTTGACAATCCCACTTTTTATCGATCGTCGAAAGCTGTTCTTACGCCGTGGATTTGTTCATATCTAATACACGAAACTTCGGCGTCGAAGTCAGCAACCATCCCGAAGTTCGACACAGGATCTTCGCGTGCATACCAGTGGTTACTGTGGTAGACGCAAGCCAACGCTGTATAGTATACGGTATACCGCTCGGGACAGAAACAATGATTGCGGGACTCCGGTAATGTAGTAAGTGGTCATCAATATCGTCTACCTACCGGTCTGCGGAGTCATGCCGTGGTTGTAAGACCTTGTGCGGCGCCTACCGGGTACCTTAAAGAGAGATGCCTCCCGACTCCCAGAGGCGACGGGCCCGGTCAAAGGTGATGCACAATCTATCATAGCGTATGGCTGCTTCCAGGCTCGGCGCCGCTCCGAGCCGCACGGCTCGGAAATGAATGAGCGCCGGGGCCCAGTATCATGACGGCCTTTGATTGGCCGGAGTTGGCAACCCTAGAACCGGTAGGACTCTCCTCGGACTCTCCAGGAGGCTGACGGCGCTTGACAGTAACTGCACCATGCCTAGCTGCATGCAAAAGAGGTGATCGATCCCGGTGCCACGCGTCATGCTATGTGGCCCGCCGTATTAGTCATATCACTGACTTGGACTCAAGAGTTGCTCATATGTGGTGAGCATTCAACATAATGCACCACTGAATGTGAGTTTGTGCGTGTGCGAACAGAGGCACTGGTAATTGGATCTGGGTCGTTCCGATCCTTGCTGATGCCGGCGGTTTACAGGCTGCCGCCTGTACAAACTGCAGAGTTACTTGTTACAAGTTACAAGTTACAAGTTACAAGTTACAAGTTACATAGGTACACCTTCACAAGGATAGACTGTGCTTTCTGTCGGCAGATCTCAGAACGAATCATATAGAACCATCTGACAGCGCCTGTAAGCCTGTTTAAAAGTGATGGTGTCGACTTTTATCATACTGGAGCTGCTGCTTTCCGAGATACGTCACGGCGTTTGTCAGCAACTAGATCGATAGCTGGCTGGCGGTTTTGGGGCGGCTTTGTTGGGCACTTGCTGACACGGGTATCCTGGGCCGGAGTCAGCTAATTGACGATTGATGGATCTTGACAACGCCATCGATTAATATTGCACGCCCATCGGATGCAAATTAGTCAGCTGGGGTTCCTTTCACTTTAGTAGGTGAAGAGCGCTCCGGTTGCGCGTATCGCACGCCTTCTTTGAGCTGAAGTGAGCTGGTCATTTGCAGGCTAAGAGATCGTTGCCTTCAGATTCTCCAAAGTTGAGGTCAATAAACCCTTGCTTGATCTGCTCCCGAGACACACAGGCTTCCTGAAAAGGGTCTGGACGTACTGAGCAAAGACTGGCATGATGCCAGCAAGTCAAGGGCAACCAGATTCAACCCCATGAGACGCCGCTAGCTGAGCGGTTCCACAGTTTCAGCATTATTGTGCACCTAATAGGCTGCTGTGACGCAGCTTTGGAAACCCTGTCTTCGCAGGGAGACACCAGCTAAAATCCCAAGCATATCTGAACTTTCAATGTGATCACACCAAATGCATTTGAGAAACCAGTGGAGAGGCACTCCGAAACCAACGAGTGACTTTAGCACCGGCTGCCCAAGATGAGGGTCACAGTCGTCAGCGATGAGCTGGTTAAACCGGAAACTTCTAACAGGCAGCATCCAAAGTTCCTCGAGCTTTCGGTGCTAGATCAGGTTCAGTTCCGGTACCATTGGCCTCCGCTTTTGGCTTTCTTTGACCCACCAAAGGGTGAGTGCCTCTTTTCCCTTCTGAATGCATTGTGTTTGGTCTCGCAGCATTTCATAAAGAGAGGCGGTAGGACTTTTCTGTCTTTGTCGTTGATATTCACTCGACCCTTACCCTGCTAGTTGTACCGCTGGACACGCAGGGGTCCTGGCATTGGGATTCTTAACGGATCACCACACTTTCAAAGAAAGGTTGAGGCTATGGTCATTGCCCATGAGATCCTACACTGAGGAATGCTTTCAGAAGCTGTAGAGCATTCTCCAATGTAGGATATTAAGGAGAGGAGTCTGTGCCACCGCGATCTCTTCTTTGTCGAAACAGTGACTTCACACATATGATATTGTGCTTATGATCCGGGTCGGGGAAGGCCGAGTCGTTTGTTTCTCCAGGGCTCCTTGTCTAAACCAAAGAATGGAATCATATTTTCTTTCCTTTTGCACGGCCCCAATCCGCGTTGGATATATTCTCGGGCTGCTTTTGGCTCGATGTTCGCTAGATTTGTAAATGATAGCAACTTCCGCTTACTGACCACGTTCCACCGTTCGCATGAATCACGATAGAAAGCCTCGTTCAAAAGAGCAAAAGCGCATTCGCTCGAGCCCTAGTTCCGTTCTACCCCCTTGCCGGGCGGTTTGTGGTAAGCTCAGCAAGCTGGTCAAGCATCCAGCTCGAAAAATGCTATGTCATTGGCGATTTCACATTCCGCTCGAAGAGCCCTGGTTGAGAAACGCTTGAATAGCTCTCTGAAGCAGGATGTGAAGAGTCACTGGCAGTCGGCTTGCTCGGTCGAGAGCGGGTCAGTCGAAACGAACAAAAGAAAATTAAACGGACAGATCTTGATTTGAACTGCCGCTTTTGAATGTGATGAGCAACTAGCGAATCTTTCTTCGACGCTTGCGAATCTGAAAGTCCAGCTTTTCAAAGTCCAGTCGGTGTGAGAAGCTAAATCGAATGCCGAAATTTACAGCATCGAGCGGAAGGGTGTCTGGCAATCGATTGCAACGACGCCGGCATCCTCGTGCGCGTCGCCGAGGCAAACTGCAAAACGCCCCAGGCCATTGCCACCGGGATGAACATGGCGGGCTCACAGAAGCTCTACGTCTCCAAGCGGGGAGAGGACGTCACCACGGTACCACCCCTGCTGGTGCAGGTACGTACCGCGGCAGACGTGCAATCTGGGGCAGATACGCGGGCCATGACGACAGAGTTCGCCATCTCGATAGAAATACATTGAGCTTAATCCTCTTCAGGAACGGACGTTCAGAACATTCTGCTGATTCGTCTACGGCAATAGGCTCGATCGAGGAGGTCAAAGTTCCCTTCCTTTCCGGATTCATCTTATTAGAATGGCCAGCTACTTGATAACCGCCTTTGACCGATTATTGTGCGTCTAAGGACCCTTATGTAAGTCTGTCGCTCTTGCCGCTCGACATTCGACGTACGTGCGTCTTTTCGCAGTGAACTCTTTTCTCTGCGGCCTGCTTACACACCTCCGGCTGCGCACTTTGCTTTCCCTTTCTACTCCGGAGAAAGCGTCGCGTGCTTCCCTGCTTCGAAACTGCTCACGTTCTCGTTCGCAGTTCACGCGCTTCCAGGACGATGCAATCAGCGTCTCATTCTGCTTCCACCACACAGTCTGCGACGCTGCCGGATACTCCATGTTCATCAACTACTGGTCTGAGCTGATGCGGGAAAAGCAGCCGTCCTTGGAGCCCAACCACGAGCGTTTCCGTCTTCCGGTAAATCTCCCCCTT